ACAAAACAATTTTAATATATTTTTCGTATGGTGATTTCAACGGAAAAATACTTCAGTCATTTATCTGATTTTTTTGTTTTTTGTTTTTTTCCTCAGACAAAGTCCTGAGAACATTTTACTTGTTTAATCATATGGTGGAAAAAAAAAAAACGGATGTAGAGATAGACATACTTTTTTTTATTATCTTACCGCACGTCATCGGCTCCTTTGTTCATTCTAAGACAATCAATATTTCCTTCCCCGATTAGTGAGTCTTCTATATCTTTTTCTCGTTCAATCCACTGCAGAGAGGATTTATTATTATTATTTCACGGACGCATTTGTTTAAATATATTTTTGTCATTACACTTTCATATGCAGTGGGTTATTTTCTGCATGCGGACCCATGTTCACTCTACATTCACTGAAAACGACGATCATGTTTACGCATTTATTTTTTATTTCAAATCCAAGAGCAGAAAAATAATCCTTCATTTTATATTATATATACATAATACAAACACTTACCTCTATAGGTGTTTGACATTGTTTTTTTTTCCTTGAGAGGAATCTCATAAAAATATATTAAATATAGTAAGGTAAAAGGTAGTAAATATAAAAGCAGAGGTATTCAGTCATATATATTAAATATTAAAAAAAAAATTCAAAATGCAAGGTATAAAACGTATATCTAGTTAAATCTTATGTGTATAAAATACACATCAATAATAAAATATTCGAACGGTATAGAGTGTATGCATGTATGTGTTATAGCACGTACGTCAGCACCTGCAAAATGTTGGTTTGATGACATCGAAAGGTATATTCAGGTATGTAATGAATGTATATAGGTTTCTGGATAACTTTTGTTTGTCTGCCTTTCATATGGATTCGGTGTCCATTAAATTTAGAAAAAATGATTTAATAATCTTTGCACATGTATGTTTGTATGAAAGGATATGGAAAAACGCATGTTTAATATAGGCGAGCATGAACATCTCCCATGCAATTGTGTTTGTTTGTTTCTTTTCCTTTTTTTAATTTTATTCGACTATTTTTTTAAAAAAAATAATGAACAATGATGTGTATCATGTGTTTTTGTTAACACAAACAAAAACAAGAAAATAATCCCTCACTGGTATGTATTTATTACATTTGTGAAACATATATCTGTCTATCAACCTATCTCTCTATCTATCTATTAATATGTATGCATGCTTATAAAGTAGGCGAGTTGATAAATATGCAATATCTGTTTACTGTTCATATTTTTTGCGTATGTGTTTGTTTATATTGTGTGTTTGCATAAATATATCTATATATTTATATGTTGTTGAACTTTTCATTTTTATTGCACTGTCATTCCAATTGTAGGCTGTACGTCGATTTCAACTGTTCGGAATAATAACTGGAGAAAAATATAGCTTAAAATCAAAACATAATATCCCTAAATACTGAAAGTTTACAAACCAAATATATATTCAATCTATTTTTATAGAAATTCTCAACTAAAATCATGAAATATCATTATAATATAATAATAATAATCCGTCTACGTAATTACCGTATATCAGAATTCGGAAATATACAATCTTTCGTGTTTTATTTAACCGAAATTGATTTATTTTCTTCAGTAATATATTAATAAATCAAACATAGATATATTAAAAATAATAGTTTTTTAATTTAATTCAAACATACTTTTTTTAAACCAAGCAAGAAATATGATTAAATTTATTACATATTCGAAGGCTTTGATCGGTGATCGAACAGTAAAATATCTGTATTATTTACATACAATTTATGTAGGAACTATTTATATATTTGCCCCTTGATACTATACAAGAAATATAATGAATCTTCTTCACTGTAATATTCCGAGTTATTTTGATATGAAATACTTGCTCCTTTCTGTTTACAATAAAATATCGTTTAAAATAATCGTCATATGACCACAATTATAGTAATATACTTCCATATACGTATCACAGTTTCATATATACTACCTGAGCTTAATTGTATTAAGTGAACATGAAAACATGAAGAGTACATCCAAATAAATATTTGTGGCACGTCGTTGTAAGCAGAAATTGTAAATTTTCATTTCGCCGATATTAGTGTTACAAAAGTATATTTTTATTCTTGAATAAAATAGTTTTCACTATTTATAATTTTTATCTTTAAAAAATGTATTTTGGTAAATGTATTAGTAAAATTCTGCATATTACAGGTAAACATTCATTGTTTAAAATTTAAAATAATTTAAATAAATCTTCAGATTTTAGTATGCGAGTTACTCTATTCACAATAAAATTTCATTTAATCAAACGAGGTTGTTAATTTTTTATAATATACATTTATTTACATGATAAATATATTATCGGAATATTATTCTGATATGTTTAGTCACGATCATTTGCGGTAAGTGTATAGAAATATATATGTTGATGATTAGTAGGGATAATTTTAAGGAGGATATAAATACAAACAAAAAGCAATATAATAATGAATACAGAATCCTTTTAATGACACCAGGTCTGGTTAATCCACCACCCAGATTTTGATCTTGCCAATTCACGCAAAATGTCCTTTCCGTGTCACCTTGTCGATTATGCTTAATTCCCTCTTTCTTGCCTATGCATATCTCTTTCTGCCAAAAATAAACTTAAACTGAAATCTTTGTCTTTCGTCCGTTTTTTTCTTGCTCCCTTTTCATATTAAAAAATTACTGAACTCCATTTATTTGTGTAAAACTGCTCTGAAAAGATGGGCGTGAGGTCCATGAAATATATTTATAACCGGGCCTGATTGATTTTTAATGATTCTGTATTCATTTTATAAACACACACCCAAACACACACATGTATGTATGTATGTATGTATGTATATGAGCGTCTGTGTATTATTGTGAATACATTTATTGATGAAAACTATCTAAAGTACATGGAAGTTAGTTATTTTAACAAGCGGAAAGATTATGTAAAACATTGGCAGAATTAATAATAGTAAAAGATTTGGTTTTGGAAAAATTACATGAGTATTAATTTAGAAATGAATCTTGAAAATATTTTTCCGAAAAGATGCAGAAGTCCATTTCTTGTAATCATATAAATAACTAAATGTGGCAATCCATCACAAATATGTGATTTGGACAAACGTATGTCTGAAAACTGATTTCCCATTAGTAAATTCTAATGATTAATGTAAACTTTATATGAATGAACGGATAGTTTTACCTGTGGTTAGCTATTTCATGGAAACCTACAACCAACACGTCACAGAAAAAAAAACAAAAAAAACTAGTCTAGTATTGTATGTAGAGAAAGTAAGTGTCCCATCAAAACAGATTAATTTGATCAGATAAATACTGGCAAATGTGTTTGCTGCAGCCAAATCGCGTTGCAAACTTTGATCCCTACTGATCAACGGAGTTAAGCCTGTTCAGATAGGTTAACTCTGGGGAGGAAGCTCCTCGATAAGCCTAGCAAGACAGCGACGCCTATGATTTCGCTACGTACACTAAAATAAGACGTTGATATATGAAGTTGCTTCGAGAGTGGCATGTCGTAAACCTACCTGGAGTTGTATGCGAAAAACTACACGTTTGTCGGCATGAAAAAACTGTGCTCTAAATGGTATATTTATCCAAGACAATGCTTCTTCATAATGTTGACAGTTGCCCGTCCTGACAGAGAAAGATGCAAAGTACTAAATAATATTTATAATGTCGTAGTGAAAAAATATCTTATATAATGAAATTTGACATGTTATTTTCAGAAGAATGCGAATAATATTTACTGAGATATAATTGATGTTATTAATACAGATATGATACCGGTTGGCTAAGATCAAAACCTAAACTTTCTGATCATAAGATTTTGGTCATTATTCCTAATTTTTCCAACTAAGAGATTTGTCTAAATACGTGAAAGTTGCCATGAAATGATTATCAAATTAAAAAAGAACTTGTTTCTGCTGTCACATATCGTAGATATTATGAGAAGTCAAATTGTAAACTTTTCTGCAAATATTTGAACTGTTCCTCATAGAAGATATAATGCATTTCCCATAAAGTATATTTTAAAATATGCAATAATGTTATATATAATTATAGTTATTTTATATATGCTCACTGCTATTTTTTAGTAAATAATCTGTATAGTAACACATTATTTACCTGGAAAATATCTTTGAACTGTTATATTTTTTTTGCAAGTAACGTTGTAAATTCCTTTAATATTGTAATAGATATAAAAATTATTTTTAAAATTTACTATATATTATAACATATTTTTAAATGAATTCAACATCTTTTGAGAAAGGAACATGTTAGAAAAAAATAATCTGGATAATAAGAATTATATTTTTATATGAAACATTATAGCAAATATATACTTCCTTCTCAACATGGGACATAAGTGATTCTAAACATAGTTTTAATTCCAAGTTATTATGCGAACTGCTTCAACAACTTTCTTCTTCTATGTGCATATATATATATTTAATTTCTTATACAGTTTATAAACATGTCTCTATTTTATCGAATCGTAAGCCTTTTTTACGAAATTATTTTCAAGTTTTCTTTCAAATAATTTAAAAATGTATATTTAAAATCAGTTGTTTTAACAATTTAACACTAGTCATTGTTAAGAATGTAAAAAACCCAAAAATGAAATGCTGAAAACACAAAAACCTGTTTGTACAAATGAAACCCTGACTATATAATATTTAGTAAAATTAAACAATTCAAAATTTTAACTACATATTTGCCCATTCAAACATAACAAATAACAAACAAATGTCATATATAAATATATCAAAATTTATATATATATATATATATATATATATATATATATGAAAAGATAATTATAACCGAAGAGGCAAAACAATATCTAAAAATATTGAAGTTAAATAATAAAAAAATAACTTTTAAATAAGGATCATAATAATTTATTCCATTTTTCTTGCCAGAAACTGTACTAATCTATTTTTTATTCTCTCTTTCTCTCCTCTTCCAGATGGAACATTGTTTCAACGTGCAATTCTACAAAGCGGATCGGCCCTCAGTTCTTGGTCTGTAGCCAACGACCCTGTCGGCTGCACGCACCAGTTAGCCTTGAGCGTTAACTGCTCGGTTGAAGATACGACTGAACTCATAAAATGTCTACGAAACAAGACATTCGCCGATCTGGTGAAGAACGCGCCCAAACCACCCAAATATTTTTCCTGCTTCGCGCCGGTGATCGACGGCCGAAACATCATCCCGAAATCCGTCGAGGAGCTCATCAAGAAGCCCATATCCATGTTCGCCAACGCTGACCTCATGTTCGGCATCACCAAAAACGAGGCTTATGCCTATTTTGATCAAGAGGACGTCGAGAACGGCATATCGGAAGAGAAACGAGAGAAAATGCTACGCACCTACGTGCACAACCGATTCCAGTTTCACCGACAGAAGGTCTACGAGATTCTAGATCATCATTACACCGAGTGGAATAAGAAGACGAACGCGAAGAATCGGCGAGATAACTTGCTTGAACTGCTGAGTGATGGACAATTCATTGCGCCACTTTTGCGGGTAGGACAATTGCATGCCAAAACGGGCAATACCTACTTCTATTCTTTTACATATACACCGCAATCCGATGAACTTCCCCGCTGGTCAGGGGGTATCCACGGAGATGAGCTCCCGTACATATTTGGTGCTCCTCTGGTTGATGGCATTCAGCCCTTCAGTACGTCTTCATATTCGAAATCAGAACGTATGTTAAGTGAAGCTGTCATGCGGTATTGGACGAATTTTGCTAAATCAGGGTAAGTGAATCTATATATTGTATCACTTGGTTGATTTTATATATATAAATCCTTTATATCTTATAACTTGTAGATATTTATTTTCATATTTTTTATTTATTCGTATTATTTTTGAATTATTCCTTATTTTTTTAGAATTTAAAATTATGATTTTTTATACTTTTGAACTATCCGCTAATTTTTTTATATTTTAGAATTATTCGGTAATTTTTCAAATTTTAGAATGTTTCTTTAATCATATTCTAAAATTATCGAGTTTTTTTATTGTATAACTCCTCGTCAATATTTCAATATTATATGAATCGGCGTCAGTTTTATATAAAATGTAAGCATTTTTATATAGTATAACACTATGCAATTGAGATACACAGTGTAATTTTATACACAGTGTGGAAGTAGTTTCCCAAGGGTATTAGCACGTAAGTGAATGTAATCGAATTCCAGTCGAATCCATTACCTTCATTTACATGCTAATAACCTTGGGAAAGGTATGAATCCTCTTCTTCTTCCCACCCCCAGCTCTGGGTAAATAGCAGGACAGACCGGTTTTTATAGCCTTGCATAGCAACTGGTCTACTGCAGAAAAAATGGCAACCTACTACAGGAAAAAAATTGCCTCGTCAGTCATGTTTCGAAAGATACATGATCGCCTAAGCGTGTATCACGAATGACACATAACTGACTGTTAAAGTAATTATTTCTGATCACAGCTCATATCTACTTGGCCGAGTAATGTCGCTGTCAATGGAAATGAGATGCTGTCTCTAGAATTTTACAGGGCAGATGTAGTAGGATTGCAACTGCAAATTATACTCTGGCTCTTGGAATGCAACTGAAAAGAGTAAATCTAAATTTCTGTCTAGAGTGATATGAGAAGAAAGAACTACATAGCAAAAAATGATAAAGCACTTTTAGGATGTTGTGTGTTACTTGAAAAGAAGATACATCAGTTTAAAATATCTTATACTTTGCATAAGTGTATTCTATGAAATAATAAATATATTCAGTTATTTCTCCGAATAACATAAATTGCGTAAGCAATCAATGTGGCATAAAAAATATTCATATGGATGCCATGAATGACATTGTATTTGTTCAGAATATGTAAACTATCAGTTGTATATAGTCATATTCTAAAATCAATATTAAACATGTCTTCCTGCGAAGGAAGTCTGTATATTTAGCGAGGACTACAGAATTGTACGTAATGGTCTAATGCCACAGTGTTACATAGAAGTGTAACGATTTACAGAAACCACTTCACTTTTTGACTTTCAGCAACAATTAAATGGACAGCACATGTAGCTCCTCGAGATAATAATTACATACTAAATATTTGACATTCCATATTAATTTAAACAAAATATTAGGAAGGAAACTCCCATAAATACTTTGAAATAGGTATAGCGGTTTATCGAGAAACATATTTACCAGATATTTTATTTTTAAAGGAAAGAACTTTAAAATTTCAACCGAAAGTAGCAGTTGCTACTCACTCGAAGAGTACAGAATGTGTTGTTCAAAAGAAACGGCTAATGTTCCGATTAGCATTATTGAGGTGAAAAACAGATACGGCACATTAGTTCTAGTTCGATAGGAAGTGAAGAAAAGTTTATCTCGTCTAGCATTGAATACTCGGTCAGCGAATGCCGAATGATTCATTATCAGAACCTGGTTAAAAACAAATAAAACATAAGTGAATTTTCTTTCAGATGTAAGGTAAGTGAATTGATTATGTCGTTGTATTTTCGAGCAGGTATCGTTATCTGTTTCTATCTAAATGTCTCTAGTTTTCAAGTGATTTGAATTAAATTATAATTACATTCAAAGATTATTTGATTACTATATGTGCAAGAATTTTAAATTTAATGACTTATTTTTTTTTAAATTTACCTTGTGTGTCTAATTAAATATAAACTAATGAAACGTAGTAACAATATAAAGTATACGGTAAGCATAATTTCAGCTCCAGTAAGTATATTTCCTGATATAACCTATATTTACAAGAGCCAGAATAGACCAATTATGGCGTATTGCTGCTCTATATGGACCGAAATTGCCTAGGCTTAATTTTTATGTCTGGAAAGCGTTCAAAAACGTCGACATAGCCTTGTGGATGATGAATTATTTGTCACTCATTACCACAGAAGAAACTTTGATGAATTGACCACATTACCATCGCAATACATTACTAAGAATGAAGTCCAAATCGGACCGTTTCTTCCCAAGAACTACTGCTTTGTGAAACAGACAGCCGACAGACTGCTTTCCGGATTACATTAAATTTGAACATTTCAAATCGCGGATTATCCGTGCACTTCCGTACAAAACTCAACAAGCTGCAGTTCTTGACTTAAAGTTCTAGAACACCGTACAGTAAGCCCGTAACTTAAGCGATTCTTTGACCTTTTATGGGATTACAATTAATAAAAAAATGTAATTTTTATTGCAGCATTTTTATCACAAATATTCGTGTAATTACAACTGAGTCAAAAATTGTTTCCTTGAAAACAATATATTAATGAACCAGAAAATCTTCAAGTTTAATAGAAAGTCCGCCGAAATGAGTTGTGATATATATATATATATATATATAGTGTGAGAGAGAGCTAGAAAAAGACAAATTATATACTAAGATTGTGTAATTAGTTTAAGATCACCATACAAAACAATAAATCCAAAATGAGTATTTCAAAGCAAACGATTAATATACAAGGCAGATTGAATACATAATGATTTTTTTTTGTTTCAGTCATATTCTGAGATAAAGGACTTAATAGAAAGTCCGCCGAAATGAGTTGAGTGCCATATATATATATATATATATATATATATTGTGTGAGAGAGAGAGAGATAGAAAAAGACAAATTATATACTAAGATTGTGTAATTGGTTTAAGATAACCATACAAAACAATAATTCCAAAATGTGTATTTCAAAGCAAACGATTAATATACAAGGCAGATTGAATACATAATGATTTTTTTTGTTTCAGTCATATTCTGAGATAAAGGACTTTAATGTTACGGAACTGTTATATAGGAATCAAATGTCGCTGGTAACATTGGAGTTTGAAAACGGATCGCCATTGAGTACATACAAGCGATCCCGTTATTGAAAAGTACAACACGTGACCATAGAGGAAACGCATATATAGGAAGTCGCGTATTGTCTAAAGGATCGTTACTTCTAAGCTATCTTCTATTAAAATACGAGCCGCTATTTTCTACTTTATTCACTATAATATTTCTCTAGTCAAATAACTATACGGTAGTTACATTTCGAGCGAGTATTATCGAGTAAGTACTATTAGTGCGAGTGATATCCGAAGACGTTTGAAACTAATATTGTTCAAGGGCGTTACTATAGTTGTATCTGCGATTACAAAGTCTCTACTTCAACGAGAATTAAGAAAGTGACCACGAGTATTGGTAGATATTACAAAAGTAGCAACGACTATTTGTTCCTTGATATCACAAAAGAAAAATACTTTTACTGATCTTACTAACCAAAGTAATTTTAGTTTAGATTGTCATATATATTGAATATTTTACTGAAATATTTTTGGAAATTATCAAGTATTAATTTAAAATAATGAAAATAAGAACATTATGTATGATGTGTACAATACATTAAAGAAAAAATAAGGCTACTATTTAAATTGTTCTCAGGGTGAATATGTGATAATTAAAGTATTAAAATAATCCGGCATTTGATGTTTATAAATATTTTTGTTAATTTTATGTTTATATCTATAACCTATGAATGATTACCATTCCCTTAAAATGGGATATTAATGTTTAATAGGTTGACCACTGTTGATTTGACATGATTTTTATAGGAACTTTTACGAAGGCACACATTTCGGTAAAGTTACGTTGAAAACTTCGCGCACTGAAGTTAAGCCCGGTCTGTATTTAATATTTAGACAGGGCGCAGCTTGAAAATAATATTCCCTGTAAGCGACCTCCTACAATCGAAAATATATTTAAACTTTAAATAATTAAAAGTCGGTAGTTATGCTTTAGAAATATATCAAAAATGCAATTACAAATGGATGTCAATTTCTCACACATTAATGAGACATATACTTTTTTTTCTGAAGCTTTGTAACCGTTTGTTCATCATTTGTGCCATTGGAATTTTATTTAAGAGATGACAGTAATGCCGTTCACAAATGGTTGCAATGAACCATCGTACTTATGTCTCATCTGCCCGGATTTTTACCTTCATCATCTGTGATATACCGACATAAAAATAACATTATCAAAATAATATGAAATCCAAGATGGTCACCTAATCTAACTCACAAAAATGATGCAAAAAATCCTTTAACTACGCCGTACTGAATATGAGATTCATTTTTCTTTTTGTTAGTTTCAAAAGCTATTAAATATGGTGGCGAATTCTTTTATCTCTTCTTATAGACCCCACACTCCATAAATTTATCGCTTAAGTTCAATCGATCAAATGCAAAACAAAAAAAAGAAAAAAAAAACAGGTAATTTCAAAATTACTTATTACAATTCAGAGAAGATAGAAAAAATGTCAGCTGAATACTGAATTGCATCAAAAATAAATACAATGTGCTTTTCCCCCCCTTCTCGTTTTGCTATACATAACAAGCGTATTTACATTAAATCCTGTTTCCGCAAGAGACATCTCGTAAACAAGAGATGGAAATTGTTGAGTAATTTTCTTCCTGTTTATTTATTCTCTCTCTTGATTTGAATTGATTTTTTTAGTCATGTGCTTGTCTTGGCAATTGGAGTTTATTGGCCGGCTGCAGACAATTACGTAGTTATTCATTCGATCATTCAATCAAAAAACTAACTATTTGTTTGTTACAAAAAAGAACGTCAAAAAATGACTTTCTGATAGAGATGTGTGTGCATTACGGTTTAGTTTTGAAAGACTTGCATACAAATATAATAAAATAAATATCACGGTTTTGTCATACGAAATTGATAAATTATCGATTTGACGATGTAAAAAGACAGTTTT